GTAGTGAGAATTTCATGGATGAAGCTTTTAGATTCCTGCAAGCAGAATCATTTTTTTTTTTTTTAAGTGAAAAGTTTAAGATGTTACTACCAAGTGTTTATAACTGAACAAAAACTGAGGCACTGTAATGACTCAGTTTATCTGACCTATGTTTGCACCATCTTTGTGGGAAAACTGTTGCAAAATCAGAAAAAAAGATGCAGAGATCAGAAAAGAAGAAGCTCCCTGTCCTTCCCGTCTTGGAGCAACTGTGACCACGTAATGTCGTCTGGGAATAATAAAGTGTTCTGATACATTGAAAAAGACTGCGACACTGCCCTCTGCTGCCCCATGGAAGTACTGCAGATGGTCAGTAAAATCCTTTGCAAATTAAAAAAAATTCAATTAATATTTTTAATAAAAATAAAAAGATCATTTAAATGTTTAATTCAGTTTAAAATTATTTAAAATATTGTAGACACATTTTTAACAAGGGCTGTAAAAACTAACAAAACAAAGCCACTAAATCCATGAGCGTTTATTCAATTGTCACCTGAGGAGCTAAAATTATTCTAAAAAGCAGCGAATACTGCACCACAGTCTCGCGCAACGATTAGATTAGACATTTGTGTTTGATAAAGAGAGACCCAGATTTAGAACATGTGACATTCTTCAGTTTGGAAATTCTTTAGAAGAAAAACTGAGAATTTTGGGAATATAAATGTTTTGGAAACATGAGGATAAGCAGAGAAAAAGCCAAATTCAAAAATTCAGAATCAAACTGAGGTCATTTTCTTGTTTTTGCTCAGGATTCGCAGAGTTTTTTTTCCCCTTCAATAAAAGCTGCAGCAGTAAGCTCACAGTTCCATTAACTACTTTCACACATATTAATAACAGTACAACGGCTTGAAAAACGAAATAGTTAAACAAATAAGAAAAATTAAAAAAGGACTAATGTAATGTTTGTGTGCTGTTAAATCGGGCAGCATCTACTCTGGGTGAAGGACCACTTCAGGACACAAACCTTTTTATCAATTAAAATTTCCACATTAAATTACTGCATCTGGACTAATGGCTACTCATTCAGGCCCAAGTGAAGAAAATGATGATGATGGTAGCCTCACCCTCCACAGCGTAGTGACGCCTTCCTCTTTGGTTATTCGAACGAGGGCATTAAAAACATTCTTGTATCCTCTTCGCTGGTCTGCAGGTAACCTGGAGACACAAACGGTGAGGAAAACGCCTGCGAGTCATTTTGTGTCCATGCCGAGCAGAGAAAGCTGCTCGAAGGTAAACAGAGTCTCACCGTCCATCGGCCGTCATCCTGATCAGCGCCACCTCTGCTGGCGTCCCCACAAATGCTCCAATGGCTCCAGCTGTCATACCAATCAGAGCCTGTAGGGGAGCACACTGTTACTCAGCAGCATGGAGGGTGCTGTGGCATCTACACCTTTACCACTGCTTAAAAGCTTTCTACAGGCTTAGATGATTTCAGAGCTCATAAGCCTTTCACTCTTTCAGCTCACCTTGAGGAAGAAGTTCGGCGGCCGGCCGTCACTGCTGGTCATTTTCTCGAACAGGATGGTGTAGATTCCCAGACGGGTCGTCGTGTAGGTCGCCTGACGCAAAAGACCTGCTGACAGACTGACAAACACACAAAGAAACCCACAATGAAGCAGGGAGATGAAACGTGAGTTAAAATGATAAAAATCAGGATGGGGCGAAGCGCTGGTACCCGGTGTAGATGCCCCCCACGCCCTCGTTTCTCAGGATGGAGAACAAGCGTGGAAGCTGGTTTTATACTCTCGAGCCTTCGTCCCCTGACCACTCAGCTGCATCCTGTTCTTCACCAGGTCCAACGGCTGCACGAAGACTGTCGCGCCCATCCTGCAGAGAGGGAACAGCACAGGTACGTTTATTAAAGCTGAAGCATTACTGAGAAACATGAAACCAAAAACTTTTTGGCACAGTCAAAGACACAACAAAACCTGGGAGCGCAGACTTGTTATCATATATCTGACATTTCAGATGTTTGAACAGATTTAAATCGTAACTTATAAAATGAGACCTTTGGACTGACTGTTCCAACAACTTCCACTGAAATCCAAACAATGTGACTAAAATAAATCAAAGTTCACTTGAAAAGTTCTTTTTATTTGAAAAGATCAGGGAGGAGTTTTACAGTTAAGGGAAAAAGTAAAAACTAAAACATGGCAGGTTGTTTAAGCGCAGTTCGAGAACAGAGATGTTTTGCTCTAATGAATTTACACTTCTGTTAGCAGTGAAGCTGCAGCGATGTGGTAACTCTGCAGTGATAAGTTATCAGGGACTGGAAGAGCTGGTACTGTGAGTTTATCAGGAGGTGAGAGTTTAGCCTCCCTTAGAAAACACCGACGGCAGCAGGTGAGAGCACAGATTAACTCACGATGATGAAAACCTGCCTGGGGCAGCGATTCTTGTCTTTTAAATCAGAACACGTCCATTTATTTATCTCAAATGAAGCTTCACAGAAGAGCGTGCTGGGATCCTGACGAATGACAAACTGTAAAATTAGAGATGGTGCAGAGATACCTCTAAATTATCTCTGATTCACACCAAATATGGATTAAAATATAAATGAAGGCCTAATCTGCAAACCTACAGCTCTAACATTTAGTCATGTCATTATTTTAAACTTTTATAGTTTCTGAGAGATATATCGATAGATATCCATCTATGAAAAAAGGTGTGCAGGTTTGAAATAAAGTCAACTGTTGACACCACCTCACGGAGTTTGTAAGAAGCAGCCATACTGTCAACATTTGGTGACCTTCAACTGTTTATTATGAGGCTGTTTAACCTGCTACGCCTGCTAAGGTAACCTGACACACACACACACACACACTCACACACACACTTTAAGACGTGTGTGTGTGAGTAATGTTCTCCATGTTTCCTCTCATACACTCATGTTAACCTTCATGTCAGCATACGTTCACTAATCCCTGTGAGCCAAAAGGTCAGATTGTTCAGTTTATCATTTTTTTCTATTTTTGGATCAGTATGATGTCAGAGACAGTCACGCACCCTGTTGAGTGAGGGGCATCCAATCACTGAGGCGCAGTGTGAGATAATTATTGAGATTATAATTTTAATTCATTCATCAAATTATTAATTGGCTTAATGAACTTTTATGATACATGATTACATTTGTAAATGTTTTGTGATAAACATGGATCAGAGTTTAACTGAACCTGATTTCAGAGTTTAGAGGCTAAACCAGGTTACATCATCATCATCATGGTCATAAAGCTGTCATCCATCCCGGCTAACGGCAGACCGGGGAGCCGACGTCAGGTCCCCCTGACTGGTGCCACCTCCCCTTATCTGCTGTCAGAGTTTACTTTAGGGAAGCTTCGCTGCCAATCCAGCGTTAGCCTGCTAGCACTCCTCGTTGTAAAGCCCAGGCGGGAGGTTTTAACAAATAATTTCCCGGGGATACAAGCGGAACATTTGCAGGACTTCTACGAGTTTGCATGTTTAAATGTGTTCTGGTGAGAAAAAAAAGGGGCAGGAAGCTCTACTCGAACATGGCTAACTAACACATGCAGAGAGGTGCCCAGATTTCGTCATGACACCGGTGTGCTGATGAAAAACGTCCCCTCGGAGTTCTCGGGGTGCAGCCCGTCCTGTGACAGCCAGCATCAGCTGCTAACAGCTAACCATCAGCGTGTCGCTCCGCCGCAGTAACGGCCTCCGTGCTGTCCTTTAAACCACACAGAGCGGGTTTAAACTGACCAGAGCTCTCCTCTGACCCCTGACATTAGCGCGATAGCATGGCAGCTAGCCGCATCACTTACCCAGCCAGCCCCCGAACAGGAACTTGATGGCCTTCGGGGAGGTCTTGGGCTTCGCATCCGCCATGTTTCCCCGATCGGTCAGTGGCCGCAGAGTCTGCGTTCAGATTTCTGCCGCCCGCCTGCCTGTGTGCCTTTGAGCCGAGCTTTCCGCCTGCTTTCTCCCCGTCGCAGCGGCGGCAGCAAGAGCAGCAAGGTGACTCTATAAAGCGGACGCGTCCCGAGACACGAAGAGCAACGGACCAATCAGGAGGCGAGGAACGATCAACGTGCTCCGTTCATGGTCTCCTTTTAAACTCCTCCATCCGAACTCTACTAATCAACTAATACAGCAAAGTTAATGACGTACAGCGTATATCAGATATTTAGAAGGCTGTAGTCTTTGACTTACTGATGTTATATTAAAAAGAAAAATGTTATTTTAAACATTTTGGCATTTGACATGCAATAAATTACACACGTGAAGTTGATTATGAATTCATCATCATTTGACCAAAAACATGTTTATACAGACTGATACTTGAAACGATGACGAGCCTTTTGATAAAGAGGCCCTACTCAACTAAAAATTCGTGCATGGCATTTTTATGTCTTTCATTTCCGAGAGAACTTGAATGCCGCAGATGCTACAACGCTAGTTATTTAAATTAAGTATATCTATAAATATGTAGAAAACACAAATTTAAAAGTGTATAACTGGTAGGACGTTATATAAATGTTTAGTTTTTTTAAAATAAGGAAACTAAAAGCCACAATTATTTGTTAAATAATTTATTGCTTATAATGTTGTACCATTGTAATGAGATGAGATGATAGCCTTTATTTGTCAGTTGCAGTTGCCCACCGAGAAGACAGACCTTGCCGACCGTACAGGTCAGGGAGGTAGCAAAGGAAAAAAACAGTGAAATGTGTAACACAAAAGGATAACCCAGAAAGATAAGGGAAGGAGACGGTGAAAGATGCGTCCGAGAGCCAAAGAAAGAAAGCATTTTCTTGTAGCATGGTTGAAACATTGTAGCAACCATTGTTGTACCATTTTCTTGAATATTATGGCTTTTATAAATCCAAAACGATTTCTTGTTTAGTTTCAGAATTAAAAATGAATTACAACTGTTGCCACCATCATTTCAGCTTAAACACAGCGTCAAAACTAAGGAGTCTGATGTGACACACAAAACAACAGAAGGCTGGGACTCTTTCCGACCGCTCATTGGTTTAGAGCTAGAGAGGGGGAGGGATTTATTATAAGCAACAGCTTGCTGAGGAAGTAGATCCGGGGCAGCGGTGAGTAGAAACACTGAGCAGTTTTATTTCTGTTTTTTTTTTCTCTTTTTTTACCGGATTAAACTCCCATAAAACGCCTCGGTGTGGCCGTCCGGCTGCCGGAGATCATATCGCGGAGCTGGCGACAGTTTCTGCTGCGTCACGTTACCGGTGTTTTGGCGAGTGATTGGGCAGCTAGCGTTAGCAAACAGCAGGAAGCTCACTAACAGAAAGTCTGTTAGTGAAGTTTTTCGGAGTTTTTTACACAGAGATCCAGAAATAAACAATTTATACTACAGGCTGACAGCGGAGGGATACACAGGAGCTGAGGTACTTATTTATGAGGCGTCACCTGTGTTTGTTCTCCACTGTTTACATGTTGGGTCCTGTTTGTTTAGGGAAGGAAACGAGGAGCTAGAGAAGTAAACACGGAAACAGAGAAGGAAGGGAAGAAGCACAGAAGGATAAGAGGAGGTAGAGAAGTAAACAAAGAAACAGAAGGAAGGAAAGACGTACAGAAGGCAGCAAGGTATCGGGTAAGAATCATGGTGGCAGAGAAAGAGCAGGAAGGAGGGATATGAGGAAGGAAAAAAGGAGTTGGTAAATAAAGGGGGCAGGGTGGAAATGAGGACACAGAAAGGACGAGGAGGAGGGGAAAAAGTAGGGAGAGGTAACAAGGAGGCATTGTACAAAATAAGGAGACAGAGGAGGAACCAAGGAGCCACAACCTAGGAAAGAGAAACTTTTTTTCTCCTCGTTAAATGATTTTTTTTTGTCTCGCTGTGGTGGTAGGCGGTGTTACCTCTAGGTATCCAATGACAGCTCTCCGATCATGTCCGCGGGCGGGGCTCCACACAGAGCGGACTAATGAGGAGGAGGCAGAGCCATGACGGGCGAGGAGACGAGGGGGGGTCGGCGGTGGCAGGGGAGCAGAGCGTGGCGGTGGGGGGCGTGCCGCGTCTTGCCGTCTTCCTGTTCCCCTCAGAGATGGTGTTCTACGCCGAGCAGAGGAGCTCCCATAGGAGGGTGCTGACCCTCTACAACCCCTACAACTTCAGCCTCAGCTTCAAGAGTGAGTGCAGCCTTGTTTAGGCCCTGGTCACGCCGCCACTGGCTCTAACAGCCTCTCTCTCTGTCCTCACAGTGTGCTGCACGGCGCCCTCGTTCTACAGGGTGGTGGAGGCAGAGGGCAGCATCCGGGCCAAGTCCTGCGTCGACCTGTGAGTGTTTCAAACTTTGTTTAAAACTTAATCCATAACGACGCTCACATGCAATCAAGTATTTTGTTTTCCTGTCAGGGTCGTGCGTCACCTGGACGTCTCCCCCAGACACTGGGGCCGCAGGACCGGTTCCGCATGGAGGTGAGGGGTGGAGGCCAGGTGGGACGACGGGAGATTTGGGCGGAGCTTAGAGGAGGACAAGAGGAAGAGGAGCAAAGAGGAGGTCAACAAAGGGCGCTGCCCCATCCTACTTCTCAGCTCCTGCCCACACAGGCACACCTGCCTGCCTGCACAGGTAAGGCACCATGGAGTGCTCTGATTGGTTCCTGCAGCAGTGCATTCACGGGTGCAGAGTTGATCTTACTAATGATGTTTCTGTGTGTGTGTCTGCGTCTGCAGCTGTGCGCAGCGCGTCTCAGTGGGCGGTGTGTGTGGCTGTGGCGGTGCTGTGTGTCACAGTGTTGATGCTCCCCCTGCACACTGACAGCAACTCGCTGGTTCCACGCTGGCTGCACGTGTCCACCAATCAGAAACTGGTCTGCGCCTACACACTGGGTAACACCACACACACACACACGCACGCACGCACACACACACACACACACACACGTCTGTATGACCTGAGAGAGAGGGGAGGCAGGAGCAAATGGGACAGTGGGAAAGTAAGCAAAAAGAAAGTAAAGAATTGAAGGAGATAGAGAAGGAAACAAGGAAGTAGAGAAGAACAGTTATAGGTGAAGAAAGGAGGAATCTAGGGACAGTTAAGGAAATGAGAAGTCAGAGCAGAAAGGAAGGAGTCTCAGAAGGAAATGTGGAGATAAAGAAGCAAACAAGAAAATAGAAAAGGAAATAAGGAAGCGGAAAGGAAACTAGATATAGAGAAGGAATTAGGAGAGAAGGGCAGGAACGAAAAGGAAACAAGAATGTAGTTGGAGGGAAAACGAAGGAGATAAGGAGGTAGAAAAGGAAATGAGATGGTGGATAAGGGAACGAGAAGTTGAAGATTCAGAAGTACATAAAACATACAAAGAAGGAGGCAGAAAAGGAAATGAGGAGGTAGAGAATGAAGCAGTGATGCTGTGGTTGTCTCGCAGGTCTTGTTACCATGGTGTTTCTACGGTGACGTCATGCTGCAGCGACCTGTGGCCTCACCGTCGTCCACACAGGAGGAGCCCTCAAACGACTGTCATGGGACAGCGAGTAGCGTGTTCAAAAAAGCTTTATTTAAACGTGTCGACGGAGCGGACGGAGTCATCGACCACTGATGAACAGTTGGATACGAGCGCCGTGAGAAGAAATGGACGTTAAACCGACGAACATGTGACAAAGCTGTGATGCTGCGTAAATAAAATGATTGTGAATAAAAACAGAAAGTGATGATTTTAAGAGGATTCAAGTCTTTATTTAACTGTAAACAGAACAACACAACACCATCTTTGACCAGAGTGTACTCACATGTTTAAATAAAGTTTTTACAGAAGCTCAGTGCAGCTCATCGTATCCAGGATAAATAAATAAAACAAAGCAGGTAAACTGTGTAATCAGATGTGTGTGTGTGAAGTTTTACTGCTGATGGTAAAATGTTCACAGAGGTTCAGCTTGTCTGCGTGATGCGTCGTTATCCATCAGAACTACAGAGCTGGCCTTCCAGTCTCTGAGAAAAACCTCATCAAGTAATGCATGAACTAGTAATTGATGGAAAAGTTCCAGTTTCTTCTTCACTGCCATGAATAAAAACCTGTTCTTTAAAAGAATCCCCTGCATCTTTCTGCATGATCATCAGTGCTGATCGTTCTCGATGTTCCTCTGGGATCGCTGATCGGTTTCAGACCTGAAGCAAAGTGAGCCGCAGATTTCCCATCCATGAACCTGAACCCTGAATGCAGTGATAAACACACAATGGCTCTGAAGGACAAGTTTCCCCTGAAGTCTGACATTTCATATTAAACAAGGAGCCGTTCTGACAGGTTAAAAACATTTAAAAGAATAAACGTAGAAAAGAAAAACAATGAATTAATAAAAAAAGATTATAACCTGTGTCACAGATGAGGCTCACTCCAGATTAATGAAAATAAACAAACTCAGATTTATTTTCACCTCATTTAGAAGGTGATTTACACCCGCTGAGTGAAGCACACGAGGAGGAAGAAGGAAGGAAATAAGTCCAGAATGAGATTCCAACACTTTACCATCGGAGATGTTTGTCAATAAAGAAATACACAAGGGGCCTGTTTCAATATGCATACTTGTGCGTACTTGCATTCTCATGTACTCGTAATACGTCATCAGTCCAGAACCCAAACGCGGCAATGGCGGAGGAGCGCGTCTAAAACTTTTAAATATTACTCTTTCTGGGTCGCAAAATAAAATTGTAAGTTATTTTGAAGTGAGAATGTAGCTGTGTAAGCTTCAAATATCTGCTCGATTTATCAACATATCACATATTTCCAAACGTGCTCCGACGTTTTCCGAGACATCTGTTACCCACCAGCTCCATATACATTTTGGGGCATGTATTCTGTAATCTGTAATCTGTAATGGAATACATTTTAAAAGTAACCTTCCCAACACTGCCCACCAGCTCCATAGCAGACCGAGAGGTCGGCACATCGTTTTCAACCCTCCCATGCTCTTTCACTACTCAGGTTAAACATGATATATGAGTCTCTTAGGTAACTTCGAAATGTTAATGTTTGGTTTATTTGTTCCTGAGTAAATCGTTTTGGCTGAGATATATTTCAATTCAGGAGGAAACAAAGACAGCATGTTAATACGTGGAGATTCTGAAGGCTGCTTCAAAATGATCGATTATATTTTAAATCTTTGTTCAGTTCTCTTCCAAACCCCAGCAGCTGTCTGTTGTAATTTTTGAGTGTCCACTAAAATAAAAATAAAGTGTCCTAACATCTCACCTGTTTGTTTTTATTAAGGCATACATGTACATTATTTTTATTAATAGAGATTTCGCTGCTGAGGTCAAACATGATATATAAGTCACTTCGATCGCTTCTAAATGTTAATGTTTGGTTTATTTCAGTGTTTTCTTTGTTCCTGAGTCAGTCGGTTTGGCTGTGATTAAAGTTAAGCTTCATAACATGTTAGTCACAGTTGAATTAAGAGAGTAAAAACTCCGGACCTGTGACATCATCAAGTACGCTGTACAAATCCCGAGTCTGTGCGTGCCGGACTCTTGGGACTCGCGTACTTGAGGAAAGGCCATGGGAGTGTTTTTGTTCTTCTCGCGTTATTTTTTAGTCACCGCGAGAGTTGGAGAGAGTACTGAGACGAGCTGCTGAGTTTTGGCGGAACAGGAGCAGAGCAGGAATAATGGAGGAGGAAAGCCGGGACACGCAGAACAGCAACGGAGAGGAGTCCTCCTCAGCTCGCGCTGAGCTACAGGTGAGAGGTTATCACAGCTGAAAGAGGACGTGAAGGGGCACGAGGGACTTCCTGTTCAGGCTTTAACTTTGACAGAAGAAAGGAGACAAAACAACCATCGGGACACAGCCGCGCAGTTTAAGAAAACGATGTGCGCGTCTGCATCAGAACTTACGGTCCAAGCTGTAGACTCCGTCAGGAATGCATGGGGCGTTTAGGTGCATCTCGTAAACTCAGCAATCGTACCCCCAGAAGCCGTGGTGTTTATTTGAACGGCTGTGGTATTATTATTATCAGGTAACAATTTGAGTTTTTTAATGTTTTAATGCGGAATTGAATGGATAATATTAGAGTTCTAGATTCAAATGTGTTCATGGCCATAAAAACAGGGGAAAGGCTGATGAAGAAACTGCATCTGCTCTATAACTACAGGTTAGTGCATCTGTACGGAGAAAGAGTCAGGTTGTTCTTATAGCTCTCTTGCACTACATCTATTTCACACTTACATTTTGTCTTCATTTATTTATTTATACTATTTGTATTTTGTTTGTTCTATTTATAAATATTAACCAGGCATCTGTGTGTGGATAGCAAAGAAAGAATTTCAATACACAGAGAAATACTTTTCTTTGTACATATGACAATAAACGCTTGAATCCTGAATCACTAAAGACAGTTTTTAATGCCACCAACAGCTATGCGCTTAATATGCAAGATGATCGTCTCTGCAGTTGTCATCACGCTCTGCAGGCGTTTGCAGTCCATAGCAGTAGTGCTGCTGTACCATGCAGTGATGCAGCTGGTCAGTGTGCTCTCCACAATGCAGTCTCTAAGAGCATCCACAGAGTTTTGTTGTGTCAAAAAACCTGCAGCGAGGACTGAGTTTATGATCTCTGAGCTAAACTTGCAAAACTCTTAATAATGTAGCGAGAACACATGGTTCAATACAAAAATGCTGGAGATGCAGCTTGAAAATTGCACAAAATAGTGTGGAATGAAGTAATGGAAACGACAAAGCTAATGATAATTATTCTTTTTAAATTGAATAAAGTAATTCTGTTGATTCCATGCTGTATTAATTGTGTTTCAGGTTGCTTTAGTTTCAGGCCTGCTTCTGTGTAGTCAAAGAATGTGAGCAGCTTGCATAGAAAGGGGAGTAGACCAAGGTGAGCGAGATAAGGTGGGGAGACAGTGGTGTCACCATAGAGATGGAGAGAGAAAGTACTAGCAGTTGTGTCACAGAGAGCAGCTTCCACGAGTACATCCCTTTGTTTAGCCAGACCTCGCCCATAGAGAGCTCTAGCTGCTTGGTCTCCAAATCAAAATCAAATCACTTTTATTGTCACATCACATGTGCAGGCACACTGGCACAGCGCATGTGAGTGAAATTCTTGTGTGTGAGCTTCACAAGCAACAGAGATGTGCAAAACACAACAACACAAACGAGCAAAATACAAGAATGGCTACATCTGAAACTAATAAATATATGTACAATATATAATAGTGTATGCATTTCTGGATGTGTATACTAAATGTTTTTCTACGTGTGTGTGTGTGTGTGTGTGTGTGTGTATACACATTTTTACAAATTAAATAGTAAAAAAATAATGAAATAAAATATCTAAAAATATACAGAGTTGAATATGTGCAAAACAGTGGCATTTATATACAGTATGGAGTGCATAATGTTGAAGTTCCAGTAGTGAAGCTGAGGTGTCTATGACGTGTTCAGCAGTCTGATGGCCTGGTGGAAGAAGCTGTCTCTCAGTCTGCTGGTACGGGACCGGATGCTGCAGAACCTCCTTCCTGATGGAAGCAGTCTGAACAGTTTATGGCTGGGGTGACTGGAGTCCTTGATGATCCTCCCCGCTTTCCTCAGGCACCGCTTCCTGTAGATGTCTTGGAGGGAGGGAAGCTCACCTCCAATTATCCGTTCAGAGCACCGCACTACTCGCTGGAGAGCTTTGCAGTGGTAGGCGGTGCTGTTGCCATACCAGGTGGTGATGCATCCAGTGAGGATGCTCTCAATGGCACAGTGATAGAAGGTCCTGAGGATGCGGGGCTCATGCCGAATCTTTTCAGTCTCCTGAGAAAGAAGAGGCGCTGTTGCGCCTTCTTCACTGTTTTGTTTGTGTGTACTGACCACGTAAGATCCTCAGCCAGATGTACACCAAGGAACCGGAAGCTGCTCACTCTCTCCACAGCAGCGCCGTTGATGGTGATGGGGGTGTGTACTTCTCTGCACCTCCGGAAGTCCACTATCAACTCCTTTGTCTTTGCGACGTTGAGGGTGAGATGGTTGTCTTGACACCAGTGGGTCAGGGCGCTGACCTCCTCCTGTAAGCCGTCTCATCACCGTTGGTGATAAGACCCACCACTGTAGTGTCGTCCGCAAACTTCACAATGATGTTGGAGCTGTTAGTGGCTGTGCAGTCGTAGGTGTAGAGTGAGTACAGGAGAGGGCTCAGTACACACCCTGTGGAGCACCAGTGTTCAGTGTGATGGGGGATGAGGTGATGCTGCGCAGTCAGACCACTTGGCGTCTGTCAGACAGGAAGCTAAGGATCCAGCTGCAGAGGGAGCTGCTCAGTCCTAGATCCTGCAGTTTCCTGTCCAGCTTCGAGGGAACGATGGTATTGAATGCTGAGCTGTAATCTACAAACAGCATCCTCACATACGTGTCTCTCTTCTCCAGGTGTGACAGGCAGTGTGTAGTGTCAGGGCTATGGCATCATCAGTGGACCTGTTGTGGCGGTATGCAAACTGTAGAGGGTCTAGTGAGTCGGGTAGTGCAGAGCGGATTAAGTCCCTGACCAGCTTCTCGAAGCATTTGCTCACGATGGGGGTCAGGGCTACAGGTCGCCAGTCGTTCAATGAGGAGGTGGTGGAGGATTTGGGTACAGGGACGATGGTGGCCATTTTGAAGCAGGCTGGGACTACAGACAGAGAGAGGGAAAGGTTGAAGATGTGCGTGAACACTCCAGCCAGCTGAGCCGCGCATGACTTGAGGACGCGGCCGGGAATCCCGTCCGGACCAGTAGCTTTGCGTGCGTTCACCTTCCTGAAGCACCTCCGCACATCCTCCTCAGACACAGTGTGCGCACTGACGTCATCCGCGGTGCGCACACTGTCCGGTCTCATGGTGTTCGCTGTGTCGAATCTAGCGTAGAATACGTTTAGATCCTCACACAGAGAGGCCGTGGTCTGCGGTGTGCTGGTTTTCCCTCTAAAGTCTGCAATCGTGTTTAGTCCCTGCCACATACTCCGAGGGTTGTCAAACTGTTGCTCCACCCTGTCCCTGTACTCACGTTTGGCTGCTTTGATCGTCTTCCGGAGTTGGTAATGTGCGTGTTTGTAGTCCGATGTGTTCGCCGAGGCAAAAGCGGTGCTCTGTGCCGCGCGAACATCTCCGTTAATCCAGGGTTTTTGATTTGGGAAGGATTTAACTGTTCTGGATGGGACGACATCTTCCACGCATTTCCTGATAAATCCGCAGACTGAGTCTGTGTACTCATCAATGTCCCTAGCAGCCACGTGAAACATTTCCCAGTCCGTGTGATCAAAACAGTCCCGCAGATATGTGTTCACTGAATGCTTGGAAAATAAAGAGTGTCAAATGAAGTTCTTGTCTCTGTTTGATCTCTACCATCAAAACAATCTGTTAAGTTGGCGAACTTCAACAATAGTTTACTAGAAAACAGCTTAGAGAAAGTGGAGAAGCTCAGACAAAACTAAACAAATAAATAATAAATATAATAATAGAGCGGGGGGTGATGTCCACACATAATGTACTCGCACTAGTTTCTCCCTGCAGAGGAAACACAAGACAGTCAGACACACACACACATCACTCCACTAGTGCACAAACACAAAAAGTAGATTAGATTAGAACAGGATGTTCTGAACACAACACCCTGTTTGTTATCAGATGGATACTCAGTAGGTGAGGCCATAAATAAATGTCCCGTAGAGCTACTCTGTTGTAATCTTACAGTATTTATTAACTTTAAATACTCCAGTGTGAATTACTTTGTGGTCGGCTGTTCCAAAGTTTGTGAGTGGAGGATCTCTGAGTTTGGACTCGAGAGAAAGTCAGAAACAAAAACATTGTTTCAGCCTGGGAGCCAAACTGCTCTTGTGTTCAGTTTTATGTAGAGCTGGGCGATATAAGATTTTTTCAACAGACTAAATTGTCAATTTCACTTAAAAACAAAATATTAATTCTAAAAATAAATCTTAGTTTGTTTTACAGAAGAACAGACACAACTGACTAACTTTTGTCAATATCAAATAAACTGAGAACTAAAAGGAAATTCTCAATCTCTCCTTGTTGTATAGCTGAGCTTTTCAAACAGTTGTAACAGTTACTTTAGTCTGACAAAAGCCGAATGACGAATTACCACTTCCAGTCAGAGACTGAGCTGCACCGCTTTATTGTATTTCCAGACTTGCTTTCGGCACATTTACAGTGCACGCTACTCTGTTTTTGTCAGACTTGAAATAGCTGAAATACCTTCACACTACGGAACTTCTGTGGCTCTTCCGTTCGACAATCTCTCCGGCATTGGAACCATCATCTGTTTTCCCTTCGGTCACGCTTTCGGTTGATGTTTCTCTAGTCGGCACACTCATTTCCTCCATTACCCGGGCGGCACGGCGGCTGGCTGCTTCCCAAACAAACACACGTGCGGCTTGGCACTTGTGCTGTACGTAACAAGTCACGTGACGTGATGCTGTGGCTGTGATTGGTTCGGGTCTGCACTACTTAATTTGGATTGGCTGTTGTTCCCTTTTTTTTAAGAGGACAAGAGAGATGAGGCCTATCGCAATAGTTTAACTTTTCTATCGAGAAAAAGTTATTTCACAATACATATCGTTATCGTTCTATCGCCCAGCTCTAGTTTTATTAATTTCATGTGCAGAGCTCACAATGAGCTGCAGTCTGCTGAAGCATGAATCTGAGGATAGCACGAGGCACTCAGAGGTCAGCGTGATAACACTGGTTATCCTCCCTCAGCTAAACATGCTCTACAATGAAGGAGAGAGGAAGAAAGTAGGCAGGGAGGGAACAGGGAAGGAAAGGAGGAGGTGAGATGGGAGAGAAGTAAACATGGAGAGAGAGAGAAAGAAATGAGGAGGTAGAGATGGAAAGCAGTTTGAAAGAAGAGTGGATAGAAAGATAGAGAACCAAACAAAGAGGAAGAGAAGGAAATAACTAAGAGAGAAATGAACAAGGAGGGTGAGAAGAAATTAAGGAGAGGTTGAAGCCAATGAGGAAGGAGAGAAGAAGAAAGGAAGTAGAAGATAATGAAATGACGTGTTAATAAGGAAAGAAAGAAAACATTTCCTCCTTGTTTCAGTATCTGCGTTTTCTTCTTCTCCTTTTCTTCCCTTCCTACTTGTCTCTCTGTCCACCTCTTCTACAGGTGAAACTCGAAAAATTTGAATATCATGTTCAATTATTTCATTAATTCAACTTAAAAGGTGAAACTAATGTACTATATAGACTCATTACATGCAATGCTAGATATTTCCAGCCTTTATTTGTTAGTATTTTGGTGATTATGGCTTATAGTTTATGAAAACTCCAAATTCAAAAGCTCAAAAAATTAGAATATTGTTCAATATTTTAGGCTCAAAGTGTCACACTCTAATCAGCTTATTAAACCAAAACACCTGCAAAGGGTTCCTGAGCTTTGAAATGGTCTCTTAGTCTGGTTTAGTAGGAATCACAATCATGGGGGAGACCGCTGACCTGACAGTTGTGCAGAAAACCATCATTAACACATTCCATAAGAAGGGAAAGCCTCAAAAAGCAATTGCATAAGAAGTTGGGTGTTTCTGAAGTGGTATTTCAAAGCACATTAATAGAAAGTTATGTGGAAGGGAAAAGTGTGGAAGATAAAGGTGCACTGTGCTTTGTTAAGTCCAGAGTAAATGCAGCCGTCTACCAGGACATTTTGGAGCATGTTATGCTTTCTTCTGCCGACAAGCTTTATGGAGATGCTGACTTCATTTTGCAGCAGGAATTGGCACCTGCCCACACTGCCAAAAGATCCAAAACCTGGTCCAATGACCATGGGGATGCTGTGCTTGATTGGTCAGCAAACTCACCTGACCTGAAACCCATAGAGAATCTATGGGGCATTGCCAAGAGAAAGATGAGAGACATGAGACTGAACAATGCATCCTGGTCTTCACAGCACCTCAGCAGTGCCACAGGCTGATTGCATCCATGCCACGCTGCATTGAATCAGTAATTCATGCAAAAGGGGCCCAAACCAAGTACTGAGTACATAAGCATGATTATACTTTTCAGAGCTCTGACATTTCTGTATTTAAAATCCTTGTTTTATTGATTTCATGTAATATTCTAATTTTCTGAGATTTTGGGGTTCTCATAAGCTGTAACCCATAATCATTAAAATTATAACAAATAAAGGGTTTTAAATATCTTGCTTTGCAATGTATATCCTATTATTAGGTTGAGCTTTTAAACTAAATGATTGAAATAAATGAAATTTTGCACGATATTCTAATTTTTCAAGTTTCGCATGTATTTCTCCTCCCTTTTTCCATCCGCCCTCCTCCACCAGGTTTCAAAGCTCAGTCCCAGCATTTTATGAACCCGTGTGTTGTCTCTGTAATTACATTCACCTTGTTGTACCAAATTGTCCTTCTTTTTCCTCTTTTGCCATAGAAACGTGGTGGCCACAAGAGACCCAGACATCATGGCTCCCAGCACCATGACAACGCCTCAAACAAGAATCGGAAGATTCACATGGATGACAAACAGTACAGCTGTGATCAATGCCCATCCACTTTCGCTCGACTGCAGACTTTCTTAACGCACCAGCGTGTTCACACAGGAGAGAGACCGTACAGCTGTGACACATGTGGCTCAGCTTTCACTCAGTTGTCTCATCTGAGGAGGCACGAGCGAAGTCACATCGGGAAGAAACCATACAGGTGTGATCAGTGCCCTTCCACTTTCACTCAACTAAGTGGTTTCTTGATCCACCAGCGTGTTCACACAGGAGAGAGACCGTACAGCTGTGACACATGTGGCTCAGCTTTCACTCAGTCATCCCATCTGAGGAAGCACAAACGAAGTCACACCGGGGAGAGGCCATACAGCTGTGATCAGTGTGGTCAGACTTTTACTCTAAAATGTAGTCTGAACACTCACTGCATACGTTTGCACACAGCAGAGAAACCATACAGCTGTGACCAGTGTGGTAAAAGTTTTGCATTGAAATTTTCCCTGAAAGTCCACCAGCAAATCCACACCGGAGAGAGTCCGCCCTGGTGTGAGGAGTGTGGAAAACCTTTTTCTCACACGTGCTCCCTTAAAAGTCATCAAAGAGTTATCATTGGAGAAAGGCCGTACAGCTGCGACAAGTGTGGGAAAAGTTTCAAGCAGAAATGTATTTTACAAAAACACAGCAAAACTCACACTGGAGAGAAGCCATACAACTGTGAGGAGTGCGGGCAGAGTTTCACCCGCCCGTGCTCTCTGAGGAAACATCAGCGTATCCATACCGGAGAAAGACCGTACAGCTGTGATGAGTGTGGGAAAGCCTTCAGTCGGCAGTTCAGCCTGACATGTCACATGCGAATCCATACAGGAGAAAAACCATACTGGTGTGAGGACTGCGGGCAAACGTTCCGTCACAAGGGCACCTTCAAACAACACCGAGAACAACATCAGAACAGGACAGAGAACTTGGAGCTGGGATCAGCAGAAGTCTCTTTATAAAATAACCATTTCATGTTTCATGTAGAAGATTTTCAGATCTTCTTCCTTTTTACTGTCTGCAGTGGAATTCCATCTGAGATTGTTCTATTGTTCAGAACATCATAAACACATTTGTGTGGTCTGCTTGTTGCAGTGTGCTGCTGTGAGGGGGAAAAAACGCTGAACAACAGAAATGAAAAACTTTCTGTTGCACTCTTAAATTAATACTGTGAATAATACCTATGGGAGATTTAAAAACAAACAAACAAACACCCAATTAAAGACGACAAACATTTATTTAATGTAGGCACAGAAAATGAGACTGACCAGAACCCACCTCCACAAACTTGCTGTAAAACCAGAGGAGATGATGTCCTCAGGGATCCACAGACCACCAGGAGCTGCTCACAGTTCTGCATATCGGGTATTTGAGAGCCCCCAATCAAAACCCTTTGCTCCTGTTAGGACGATAAATGGCACACTTCTTCCTTAAGGACCACAAACTTGTGCTTCCTGTAGAAGCTGCCCTGATCCTGCCTTTTTCTGAAGCTATGTTGTTACAGTGCTGAACCACTACCTGGAGAAAAAAAAAACCTAAAACGAAGTAAAACTGCATTTATTTTACTTTGTTTTTTCTGCTGCAAAGTAAAGTTTGTTTCCTTTTCAGGGACTGTAAAATGAAATCATTAACCTCATTAATGTTTATTATAATGTTTGTTGACAAAAAAATAAAGGGATGCGAACCAGTCTGGTCCTTTCTGTAAGTTTCAAAGAAAATAACCTAAATATCTAAACATGTCACAGCTCTCTTTATCATCTGAGTTTTATTGTGTAAAAAATCAGAAAAAAAATATCTAAAACTAATAAAAACTGACCTGAAATCAACAAAATGACTAAAAATAAACCAAAAAGATTCAGGTGAATGAGTCTAAATCACAGTGCAGTCAAACATGCAGCTGCTTGAGACTCCATAATTTTATTAACAATTTCAATAATTACAGTGGATCGAGCATGGTGATATTTAAATGGAAAAGCAACAGGACTGGAGTTCATGAAAAATTTAAACTTTTTATTACCAAACAGAGACAAGGCACAGATGCGAAGTTTAGTTTAATAAATGTTCAGGCTCAAACAGAAAAAACAAAACATGGGAACACGTTTATTTACAGAAACTCAGCTCATTGTTTCAGGTTAAACTGCTGGGATCCAAACAGAGGCTGATACCTCTGCGTCAATTCACTGTGTGATGATCTGCTTTCATGCTCAGTGCTCATTAAAACTTCAGAGCTTGATTGATCGGGACAGTTAAACATTTAACACGTGGAGCTACATGTTCTGTGACGCTTCAGTAGTTAATAATAATAATAATAATCGCATCATTTACTGGTTAATAAGTGATCATAACAATGGGGGGATGGTCTCTACAGCCCCAGCTCAAGCCCCGCCTCATTTTCATGGAGGCCTTGGTCAGGCACGTCAAAGGTCAGCCCGGCCTCTCGCTCAATGCTGTCACCCCACAGTTGCAGAAACTCAGAGTTTTCCTCTCTGGCACCGCCCACGTCGCCAACTTCAGACACGCCTCCCTCTGCAGCCACTTCTGAGATCAGACCGGGTTCTCTGTGCCGAGGTCGTGTCAGGAGGTGGTGGAAGGTCATCAGCAAAGGCTGGTAGGGGGCGGGGTAAAAAGAGACAGGGGGGAGTCACACTAGAGTTGATTTATTTTGTAGAACCTAAAGAAGCCAAGAAGACGACGAGCTGACTTGAGGGGGAGGCTGGGTTAGTTCCATAGACCCAACCAGGAGACGTGGGACAAGCCCACCTAATGCATCATCATTACACTTTCATCAATCAGAGATCAGTTTGAACCAGCTGTGCTTTCAGTCTCGTCTCAGCTCGTTTTTTAGTTTTATTGCTGTAAGTCATGTGACCTGCACAGGACTGCAGACAGAAATAACCTAAAACCTGACAGGTGCATATTTTTATATTAGCAACCATCAACATCAATGTAACATAATATAATAGATATAATATGTAATAGAATATAATATAATTTAAGCTGTCTGCGCCCCAGAGTCTCACTCATCTGATCTTCCAGACGATCAGATCAAACATTCTTGTTTAAAGTATTGCCCAGGTGTGTGTGATGTCACTGTGATGTCACCCTGTGTTGGCTCTCCACGCTGTCCCCTCCATCTCTGGTGTCTCTCTCTCCGTCGCCTTCTTGCTCGCCCGCTCTCTCTCCTAGTAAAACTAGCTCATTGATCCACAGGTTGGTGCTGGTGGTGCTGTTGGTGTCACTGGGAGGCTGGAGGAGCTCCTCACTCTGACACACACAGACACACATTTAACATCTAATCTCATTGAAATAAGCTTTATTTACATCAAAGTGACGGCTCACCTCCTGAGAGGAGTCCACCTGCTCCACAGCCTGCAGGATATGACATCACACACACGTCATGACATCACACATTGTAGCACAGTAAGAGTGACGATATTTGTTTACGGAGCTGAGTGTGTGTGTGTTACCGTGTTCTCCAGGTTCTGCCGTTCTCGCACCATTTGTGGACCCTGTAAACATCGACCAAACGGACTGATTCAGTCACTCTGTCCTTAATAACCACAGCTGATTGGTCACATGGCACAGTGACGCTCATTTTAACGCTGCAGGTTCTCATTTCATCTACAAGGTAAAAAACTACAAATAAGAAAAAACTCAGCCCGTGTCAGGACGTAATGACTGCAGATGGAGGACATATTATAAAATTATTTCTGATGGCTATTATAAAACTCCGTTCAGTTTTTACCAAATTAAAGATTTTACCAGACTCTAACCTCAAAGCTGCAAATAGACTCAGAGTATACAGTGAGATTGTGTTGTAATTCAGGTCACCTCTGACCTCTGAACTCTGGCTTGACTCCGAGGAAACTGATGAAGAGGAGGAGGAGGAGGAGGAAGTGATCTTCTGAGCGGGGTCAGGAGGGGCCGAAGGCTGCAGACACACAGTGATGTTAGAAACTGAAGACTTAAGATGAAGATGCTTTAATGTAAGGAAGGCAGTAGGGTTTCATCTGGATACACATGTTACAGCGTGTATCACAACACAAGGCTCAGGCTGAAGAAATAGCTGCATCAATATCTGCCTGAAGAAAACACCTCAAAATACAAGTTTACTACAACTCTGATGGAGTCTGCTGCTCTAGCTGTAGCCACATAGAACTGAGAGTACTCTGTGTACTTGTACTGCACTGACTCACTGCTGTTTGGTCCACTTGGCTCTGCAGGAGGAGCTGAAGGCTGTGGAGTTCTCCTGGAAGCTGCAGACAAAAACAAACATGTCTCAGAGTCACAGATGAGCCTCATGTCTCATGAACTGACCAGTATGATCCAGCCTTACTGGCACAGCCTGGTTCTGATCCAGCAGGCTGATGATCATCAGAAGCAGCCACATCGTAACAAGCTCTCGGGGCGGTCCTGGAGGTCCGGGGTAATCCTGGTCCTGTGGGGGGTCCTGCAGGTTCTGACCGAGTCTTGCTCTGCTCCGTCTGTTTTATTGCGTGTTTGGCAGGAAGTGTCATGTCATCATGTCGCCCTCAGTCCCTGCCCCCCTCCCACGGATGTTACGCCCATCAAGAGAAACATCAACAACAACAACAGGCTGATTTATACTGGCAGGGAGTGTCTCTGTGTGTGAGAGCAAGTGTTCACTGCAGTAAGGGTGTGATGTGAAAGCAGTCATACAGATGTTTTATTGTTTCTTCTGATGGAAGCAGCTGTTTAACATGGCGAAGCTCAAAGTGCTTCCATCCTGCTTTAATGGGGAGAAATCAAACCTCAGGACACATTTGGATGTTTGTGGTTCCTCAGGTGTGTCCAGGCCCTTCATTAGTCCAGAGCTCCGCCCTCTGATCCAGGACTTTGGGTTTATTTTGTATAGTTTAACTTTTATTTAACTGATGATGTCAGAGGAAGCGAAATAAGATAAAGAAAAAGTATCAGGATTAAAAGTACTTCCAGATGAGGTGTGTGTCAGATTCATGGAGCTGCGGTGAACCAACACAACAACACATCCAGCTGGCAGTAAACACATTTCACAACCAGCAGGACTTCCTGCCACACAACCACACGACACCAGAAAGAGAGGAAGCCAAGTGTTACAGAAGAGGCTCAACAATAAACCAGATTAGACACAACCATCAGTTTCATAATAAATTCTGCTTTAATATTCATCGTCCTATCACAGTTCACCTTTTTTGTAATCATCTCAGGTCTGACTTCTTAGTAGGGATGATGGGAATTTTCAGATCCTGCAGTTCAAATAATTTATTTAAATTAATGAAGGTGCGGCTGTTTTTAATGTTTTTAGAATTGTTTTAAATTGTTTTAAAATCCCATTGAAAGTAGAAAACTTTGTGAGTCCAGTCCTTCCCGTTTCAGGGTGAGTATCTGGTCATGTGACTTGTGAGTTTGGCCTGCTGGAATAAACTTTATCCACCAACATGTGGTCTTTATTATGAAAAGCATGAGTTTACACACCAAAGAACCCAAACCTTTCTAATAGAAACTGGCTTGCTTTTATACTCTGATTCAGGTGAGCCTCTTGTATGACCCATATCTGGGAAACCAAGCAAACCAAATGCTACACTGATCATCCACGTAAGCAACCATCAAAGCACAACACAACACATGGAAGACTTATTTATATATGCACAAAGTCCCACAAATAATTCAATTACACATACACTTCAGTCAGTTATATATAAATTAGAAACACCTTAACCAAACTCCCCTAAGCTGGCACACTGGTTTATTCTAAGAGCTCATAAGCAGCTGATTGAGCTGCTCTTACTCGTTTGCTCCTGTAAAAGAAGTGACCAGGAAAAGATGAGTACAGCAAACACACTTCTCTTAAATGCATGTATGAGGAATTTAGGTTTACAAGACAAATGATGAACTGCAATCAGCTGCCACTCAGGTTCTTCTTCCTGACACAGGATGGATGTCGGGTCCCTCCAGATGTTTCTTCACCTTCCATAAAAATGTCAAATTCGATAAACCTACTACAGAATCACCAAACCATAAATGTTTCTTTTCATGTAACCTTTTAAATACCAATCCCTCAAACTTATAAAAATACATTCA